GGCTAACCATCAGAGAAATGCAAATTAAAACCACAATGAGATATCATCTCACACCTGTCAGAATGGCTATCATCAATAAATCAAAAAACAGCAGGTGTTGGCGAGGATGTGGAGAAAAGGGAACCCTCATATATTGTTGGTGGGACTGCAAATTGGTACAGCTGCTATGGAAAACATTATGGAGATTTCTCAAAAGTTAAAAATGGATATACCTTTTGAACCACCAAATGTACTTCTGGGTATTTATCCAAAGAAAACCAAAACAGTAATTCATAAGGATCTATGCACCCCAATATTCATGGCAGCACAATTTACAACAACCAAGATATGGAAGCAACCTAAGTGTCCATCAATAGATGATTGGATAAAGAAATTATGGTTCATATATACAATAAAATATTACTCAGCGATTAAAAAAAATGAAATCCTACCATTTGGAACAACATGGATGGACCTAGAGGTTATTATGCTGAGTGAAATAAGTCAGAGAAAGATAAATAACATATGATTTCAGTTACATGCAGAATCTAAGGAAAAAAAGAACAAACTAATCAAAAACAGACTCACAAATATATTTGGTAATGGACAAAGGGGAGCGGGCTTGGGAGGCTGGGAGAATGGGGTGAAGAGTTAAAGAAGTACAAATCAGCAGTTGATAGTTGGTCATGGGGATGGGGAGCATGGCAGAGGGAATGTAGTTAGCATTAATATGATGGCTAGGTGGAGGGAGGGAGCAATTGCGGGGGAAAAATTATACTCCGTTAGAGGTTTTTCTGAACTTGCTCTAAAAAATATTAAAAATAAATCTTAAATTGTAAAAAAAAATTTAAAAACATGCATACTTTGATCCTTCACACACACACACACACACACACACACACACACACACACACACACACACACACTGCCCTAAGACCAGTGACCTCTTGGTATGGTTAAATCCACAATGTTTTTCATTTTAAAGTCTGGAAGGATACACATCAAATGCTTTACGATGCTCATTATGGGTTCATAGGTGATTTTTTTTTTTACTACATACTTTTTATATTGTATGAATTTTCTTGGTAAATACAACTTATTTTTATAAGAATAATAGAGCTATTTAAAAAATAATAATCCATGATCCCACAAGTACATTAGATCATGTAAGTTCTTTAAAAAGAATCATGTCCTATTCATCTTTGTTTTTTCCCCAGTAATTGCTAACTGCCTTCTGACTTCAAATTTAAAATAAAATAATTACGCTGGTTGCACTGTGGACAACTAGTTGTGGTGAACATGCTTAACACAATAAATACTATTAAATTTCTCCTTTATTCAAGTTTTGGTGTATCAAAATATGCTCAGCACCAAAAGGGCCTATATCCATTCACAGAAGCATTGTACTGGGTGCAAAGGGTGATGCCGAGAAGCCAAACTGATGGTCACTGTTAGTTCCAGCTTTAAATACAAGCCCATCCAGTCTGTTCCTTTGCTTTCTCTGAATTCTATGCAGGTTCATCTTCCTCATCATTGTTTATCTTGGTGGAGGAGAGACTGTTCCAAGACATCATCACTGCTCTACCAGTGACCTAGATCCAAGCCAGAATGTGGAGACTGCTTCCCACAACACCTCCTTGGAGACTGACTGATCCTGACTGACGCTGGCTATGACATAAACCAGTACCCTTCCCCTGCCTTGCACTACATGCTGGTCCCTAGAACAGGCCTTTGTCTTGAGCTGAACGATATGTAATTTGCCATACTTGGTAGCATTCATGTAATAGTACCTATATCTACGCACCTCCCACCCTGCTTTTAACCTATGTAATAATTTGGTGCTTGGCAAGTGGTACGGGGACCCGTTTCATCTTGCAGCCACCCAAGATGCACCTCCTATGTAAGTTTCCCTTAATAAACTCTATTAATTACCAGATTGGAGTGGCCTGTCTCTTTCTCAGTCCTTCTCTGCCCTCTGTTTAGAGAGGTAGACTTTCAGTCCTGGGACTTTTCCCTGGGTCTGTGTGTACTAACAATACTCCCTTCCAATTCTACCCTTCGTGCTGTTTGGAATACCTGTTTTGTCTACAATACCCCTACTTCCTCTGACTTTCTATCTTAGCTTTAATTGAAATCTAAGAAAATTGCTTTGTATGCAGCCTTCTTGAGAAAAAGAGTACAAACCTTCCCTCATCTCCGCTTTCACAGTCAAGGAACCAATGTTAGTATTTCCTCATTCCTCATTGCTGCTTGCAGCCTGTCATTTTACCTTCAGCTGTTGCCATCTATCAACCTCCTGCTCATACCCCCACCCCATCTCAACCATCCTGCATTGAAGACTTTGGCCCTGGCTCACCACAGTCTTGTCCCTTGACTGATTTTAGCATCTACATGGAAAACCCTTTTTATTCTTTATGACCTCACTCAGCACAGTTCCACCTCTGAAATCTTAAACTTCCATATCCTCCTCTTAGACCATAAGTCTTGCATCCTTTTAATTCTTATACTCCCTTACTCCTTTGTCTCTTCTTGGTTCACCAAATAATAACACCCCTCCAGTTTTAACTTTCTTTCCTATCTAGCATAGTCTGTATGCACTTCATTCTCTTGCTAGTAATTTTAATCCCCCTCACTGTCTCTTGTTTACACCATCCTGGCTAAATTCTGACCATGGATAAATTAGCTAACCATCTCCTTTCTGCACCTGCAACTAGGCTGCTCAGTGCTGTTGGAGAAAACCACGTTTCCGCTGACAGCCCCCTACATATTGTTTCTATTCTATCTCAGCTGAGTCCTCCTAAGTGCTCAGCACTACTGTTATGTATCCCAAATCAGCAATTTCTCAGTGACCTCAGCAGCTATTTCAACTCTTCACCACTCTTTTTAAGTTTATGGCCTCACCTCTCCTTTCTTATCAGATGACCTCACGATCAGCTAAACCTTTTTCAGAGCCCTGCCCCCAACAAAGAAATTCATGTCTTTATATCGATACTCCTTTCCTCACTATTTTCAAAGATAAGTGTTCTTCCTCCAGTCAAGGCTGCTCAGTGCTGTTGGAGAAAAGGGGCAATTCAATTACCTGTTCTCTAAAATCCACCTCCTTACGACCATGCTCTGCCTATTTTCCTTCACTTCTTGTGTCTCCAACAACTTACTCCCATTGGCTTCTTCCCCTCAGCATATGGACGAACATGCCCACTCCTTCCTTGGGCTTGGTGCTCACCCCTGTGAGTCATACTGGCCTGCACTGTTACCTTAACAACTTCCTAGCATTGCTAAACTCCACAGCACTTTTCAATACAGATATTCTGTGACCTCTTTATAGTATCGTAAGTAGTCTCTCCATTTTCAGTTCTCTTCTCCCTCTGGTTTTGTGTTCCCATTATCTTCTGGTTCACTTTTAATGTCTCTGGTCATTCTCTTGAGGCTTCTCTTCCTTATCTGCTCCTCAAATGTTATGAGCTTTTAATGCTCAATTGTTGGCTTTATGCTTAGTCTCGAAACTCTTCCTGGGCAGAGCTAACCTGTACCCACTTATACTTCAACAATTCTTCAATCATTGTGTCTAGCCCAGACCTCTCTCCATATATTTAACCATCTGATGGTTATCTCCACTAGAGGTTCCATAGGCACATCAAGCTGAATATGTTCGACACTGAATTTATCATTTCTATTCCATCCAACCTTCAAACTCACTGCCTTATCCATTTTCCCTCTATCACTAATTCTTCCCTCCCCTTTCCCTTGGTATCCATTCAACTACCAAGCCCATTCTACCTTCTAAATATCTCTGTTTTCCCCTTGACATTCTAAAGTGCTGACAAGTGTAGGAAACCCTGTGCTAACAGAAAGAGTAGTTAAGAAAGAATTTAGGAAGGTCCAGTCTGAGTTAGTCCAATGGTTTTTCAAGTGGTTCAACCTGCAGAACGCCCAGAAGCACTAGTACACTACTTGCCACACAGCATGTCTTTTCTCTCCATCTCTTTCTCTCTCTCATGCCTTCACCCATG